TATATATATATATATATATATATATATACATACATACATTACATATATATATGGATATATATAGAAAGTTTGCTAAGTTTCTTGAATTTAACATTCGGCGCTTTTACAAGCACTCTTTTAATTTTTTGAGAAGATAGATTTCTTATACTATCTTGCAAACTAAGTCGGCGTACATGGTTGTCTATTCCTGGTTGATATATCTTTATCCTCTTTCCTCTCACGTATTTGTGTGTTGTACAGAGGCATCTTCTTGATATACTCGACAAGATAGCCATAGATGAAATGCCAATAATCCTTTGTGTTGCAAAGTCGTGCGGAACTGCATGTGAAAGATTGCTTATTAATTGTGTAGACATTGTTGTCAAATCGGACATGGATGTTGTAACTCTAGAAAGGACACTACCCCTGGATATAGTCAAGCAAGTCATGGAGACACGTTCGAGTCTTGGCCTTCAAAAAGGCCCTGCTTTACCAGATAAGCATGTGAGAAGAATTTACAGAGCTTTAGACTCGGATGACATTGAGTTAGTGAAATTGCTGCTGAAAGAGGGACACACTTCCCTAGATGATGCTTGTGCTCTCCATTACGCTGTGGCTTACTGCGACACAAAAATCACAATGGATCTTTTAGATTATGGTCATGCAGATGTTAACCATATGAATCCTAGGGGTTATTCTTTGCTGCATGTTGCTGCTGCGCGTAAAGAGCCTAAGATATTAATGTCTCTCCTTACAAAAGGAGCACGGCCATCAGACCTTACATTGGATGGTAGAAAAGCTGTCCAAATTGCCAAGAGAGTTACAACGTATGTTGACTATTATAGGACCACAGCAGATGGCAGGGCTTCTCTGGAGGAGGGGCGCTTATGTATTGGGATATTGGAGCATGCAGAAAGAAGAATTCCGCCCGTTGGACAAGCTTTTTCTTTAGCAATGGCTGGGAATGACCAGCATGGGATATTGTTGTACTTGGAGAACAGAGGTAGTAATTGTTCACTCTTTTTTATTCCTTTATCTCTTGGGTGGTATTGGTGTGCACTTTGGTCCATTCATTTCTGAATTTATGAGTAGTGTCTTCTTTTCCTCTATATAGCTATTTGGCATAAAGCTATTTTATTGTTTTCAACTGAGATAAAGAAATGCTTCTATTTGCTTTGTGTTTTAATGTGTACGTAACATTTAGCAAAGAGAAAGACTTTATTTATCTAGTTGAAAACTGAGATAAAGCTCTATATGCTATAACAAGCTGAAAACATGTAATAAGCTGCATGAGGAACTTCTATTACTTTTAATGATCTGAGAAACTAGTTAGGAAATGGTTGTAGCTTCCTCTGTTTTCTAAACTGTTGACATAATTTTACAAGCAATGCATGACACCCGGTATTAGAAATAAAATGTAATATAATATAGAGCCCTTTGTGTTCTGCTAGTTGTATTTTTTACCTAGGATTTTTTACAAGATCATAAAAACATGTTCTTCTCGTCTTCTAGTAGAATTCACTTCTAGTAGAATTCAAAAAAAAAAAAAAATTAGCAATGGTAACTCCTCAATGACTCTGTTCCATCAACTTCAGTTCCCCACAAAATATAAAAACTTGCAGCCTTCATTATCGGCTGTTGTTATCTTCGCTGTGTAGCAGCCATTGATTAGAGTAGTATTTGCTACCAAGTTATATATCGCATCATTTTCTTCTTCTTTTCTTTATATTGTCTTTTTGAGCCGGCCTTTTACTTATTAAATGATTCCATGATAGGTGTCTAAATTTTATTCAGAACTTGATAGTCAGCAAAGGCATTGTTCCCTGGTTCATAGTTTCATCTTTTTATCTTACATGAACTGCAACAACAACAATAACATTTAGCCTTTATCCCACTAAGTGGGGTCATGAATCCTTTCATGGAAAAAATATTCTGTCCAGGCATCTACACATCAAGACGGCCAACCACCGACCGGCAGCGGTGTCCAGACATAATATTTTCTCCCTTCCATGACATGCTCTTCCATGAACCGCATTTCATAAAAATGGAAGTACTTATATGATTATTTGGTATGCATTTTCTTAAAAAAAAACTTATTTTATTGGGTATAATCACGATGCAGTTGCTCTTGCAAAGATGTTGTTTCCAATGGAGGCAAAAGCCGCCATGGATATTGCTCAAGTTGATGGTACCTTGGAATTTACACTGGGCACTGCTGCAAACCAGGTGTCCACAGTCGACTTAAATAAAGAACCTTTCAAGATTAAGGAAGAGCATCTAGCCCGGATAAAAGCTCTTTCTAAAACAGGTATTCCTGAAATTATTATTTTGTTAACTCCAACTGTCGTCTTTGTTTGTCCATCTTATACAAATCTTATCTTTCATCTGGTCTGAAATATGGGTGGGAATTTTGCCACAATGCAAACTACAACATTAATTCCTAAAATTCCCTAAACGTGCCATTTTTTTCAACATAAATTTTCAGTAATACCTATTTTTTTTATGAATCACTTTTATTTTTAATAAATCATCTTCTCAGTAATTCTATATTAATTCTCTATTACTACAACTATTTTGGAAAGAAACGATGGAAGTGATTCACAATCCATCATAATATAAACTAATTTCTCATCTTTTTGAAAACTAGTTTCATAAATAGGTGCTCACATTCCTAAACTCTTTATCAAATAAACGTTGGAACTCATTTAAAGTAAAATCCAAACCAAATATGCCCAAAAAAAATCACCAAGTCTCTCTCTGACGAGCTCAGTAACTTCCATTACAGTTGAACTCGGCAAGCGATTCTTCCCCCGTTGCTCCGAGTATCTGGATAAAATTATGGATGATGATCTGTTTGACTTATCTTCGGTTGGATACAATGCTTCGGTCGAGCAAATGAAGAGGTACCTCGAACTACAAGATGATATCGACAGAGCTTTTAGTGAGGACAAGGAGAAATATGATAAGTCTACATTATCATCGCCTTCTTCTTCCTCTACTTCTGTAGGAGTTGTTCGGAAAAGGAGCAGAGCTTCGGACTAAAACCTATTGTGTTATTTTAGTTTTCATTGTACTTCCACCCTTGTTATTGTAATGGGTTTTCCTGCTATTTATTTCAGCATCGATATAGCTTTCTTAAATTTTTGGCAATGTAAATACATGCTTAAGCCATTGATGTATATATGCTTTTCTTATTTATACATCTAATACGTAAATGCATTTAGTGCTATAATTTATGGTTTTATCATTAGCAGGATGCAAATTTTGAGTTGTTTAATGGTATTGATTACGGTGTGCAATATAAATTCTGAAGTTTTGTTTGGATGCAAAAGATTTGTTAGTCGTGGTAATGATGTTTTTATCTTTATTTGCATTTTATATTTTATCAAAAATATTATCATTTTAAATTGTAGAAGTGAAGTATACCATTCCATGCATAAGGAACGTGGCATGTACGTAAAATTGTGGTTTAGGTGTTTCTTATGCACATACGTAATAAATGAGTGGCATGCATGTAAATCTTCAAAATAAATTTTGATAGCAAGGACTTTAGGAGGTCTTAGTACATTAACTGAAGGAGTAGCCCATATTTCCTTATGTGAGTGGAGAATGTCTCCAATGATAAGTTGGCACTGAAAGTTTATGGGATCTTCATGGATGTACATAATTAAAAAAAATACCCAGCATCTGGAAGATTTACATACGTACCACTCAATTCTCATGCATTTACATGTCTGACGATTGAAATTCAACTTTTACATACAGGTCGCTTTGTCTATGCATGAAAATTTATATTTCACTTTCAAAATTTAAAATAATTATATTTTTGATGTGATGTGAAAATTTTTGGTGGTATGAATGTAAAAATTAAAGTTTAGATGTTAGAAATAAGAATTGTGTGGCACGTACATAAGTGCCCCTAAACTAAAATAATAAAACTCATTACAAGCATGTTTCTTTTTTTCATTAACACCATATTTCAATTATTGTAGAATGTTGTCTTATGATTAATTTATGCACAAAATTGATTAGGCTAAATTCACATCAAACTAGGAGACGATACAATCGATTAGTTTGACTAAACTAGCTACCAAATTGGGTTCCAACAATCCTAGGTTGATAGGAAGAAGTTGTCATCATTGTGATGAGCATGCTAAAAATAGAGTGTTGAACCCAAATTTGTTCGTGAATCACACCTAAATAATAAAATGTATGAAGAAGAGAAAAAACATCTTTGAATAGATGCCCTTAACTTTTTTGGTTGTTAACCAACCTTCACCGATCGGTCTTAGACAATGACCTCTTGTTGCGTTCTTGGCAAATCATTTATGTGTCTACTGTCCTTTGAGTAGTCACTGTTCAAGTCAGTTGGGCCCCTGGTCGATCAGTCATCGAATGGGTCGGCCTTTAGCTGGTTGGTTGATGGTCTTACGTTCGATTCTCGCCACTCAAGCATTCTTACTCCAAGCATTCCTGTCTCACTTGAATGGGATTGATTTGCCCGGCTTGGGCTTATTTGATTCGGCCAAATACCTTTCTGTTATACACAATTAGTTCCTCAAATCTCTCATGCATTAGAGGCGGTGTGTTGCGATAAGAATGACAGAATTAAAGTATAATAGAAAAAGTATGATAGATTATTAGCTTTCTTTAAAAGACTTCAATGATTGGTAATTTTTTGACTTTCGTGCCCTTGAGTTCTTATAATAGGTTGTGACGTCTTTCTAAATTTACTCGCTTCGCATTTCCTATTATAGGTTTCCTCTGTTCCCCTGCTTTTTAGATTGCACAACTCGAATGCTTGAAATAGATAAACTGCCTAGATCCCAAGCCAATGTTCTGAACAAGGTCTTGTTTTGCAGGTTGTTTGATGAGGAGAAGGGCAAATCACACCCTGAGGGCGAGCAGAGGAAGAAGTTTGTGGTAAAGAAGAGGAAGATCCCATCATTGAGTCAGGTAGGGTCTTTCGTGATGGTCCGAAAGATTTCCCTGCCAGTCTCCATTAGCGACCAACAAATCACTACAAGCATTCAATTGGTGGCTGTTGGTGTGATCGAGCAATGTGGCCTAATGCACCTGTTATTGCTAACAAAATTTTGTTATGCTAGTAAAATGCTCCCGTGAAATGGTAATGTAGGAATATAAGTTTGATTTAGTGATTCAAATAGTAGGTGAAAATCAAGAACAGTTCTCCAACTTATCCACTCCCTGACGCCTAAGAAAGTTTAGCAATCATACATGTTTAATTTCTTAAATCACGTGATCAACCCAAGAATTTGTTTTTCTCTGAAGGAATGCACTAACTTAGAAGCAATATTTCTATTTTCCTATGTTAATGTCATTTTTCTAAAACTCAAATTTCACAATATGTTTTAACCATCCAGCTGGCTAAATTGATTGTAAAAGAAGAATAGAAGGTTAAAACACTGCCTTATACAAAACCCAATAAAATTAGAGAAGGAAATCCAAACTTCACATTCCTGCATCACCAATTCGAAGAAGAATATAAATTCTACTCTTTAAACAAGCTTGAGAACAACAACATTTTCATTTCATTAAGAAGAAATATTATAAATAAGTAGTTGAAAAAAACAAAACCATATGACGTAGTCCAAGAAAATTGCAACTAGTCTTTCTTCCTTCTCCAATTGAAGTTGTTGAAATACAAACACACTTACACACTAAGAAAACCTCACAATCACTCATCTCTTCACTCGCTTGCACTTGGATATTCTTGCTCTGACAATTTCTCCTCAATCTTGTCCACATAGAATATTGAAAGACTTCATTTTATCCGGCCAAATAGGAATTTATGACTTGGATTGTGAATCGATGCTTGTGAACTATTCAAACCATCAAAACACGTAAACTAGCGTATAGGTGCTGGTCACCGATGCCTAAGCACTGTATTCTTAGCTCCTACTTTTCAACTACCTAGGTCACAATTCTAAGGTATTAGGCACCTAAGTGTCCATATCTAGTGCCTAGGCATATAGGTTGTGTTACCTAGGTGTTGTTGTCGTTGTTCCTACTTTTCGTATTTTTTGTATTTGTAACAAAATTCGAGCTATTTGAGCACCTAGGCACCTGCTTCGACACGTAGGCACTACTCCTCTACTTAGATTGTTTCTTTTGTTCTTCAGCTCTGATAAACCTTTTTCCCAAAATCCAACAAAATACATCACAAATTCCTTCCAAAAGTATAAAATTAACATAAAATCTATAATCACATTTTCATTACATGTTAATTTCCCCCAAACATAAATATTACTTGCCCTCAAATAATTCAATATCTAAAAGTTAAAATTTAAAAAAAAAATTATGGTAGATTATAATTTAGGATTGTAGTATTATATAGTAATGAGGCAAGTATAAAATTCAGCATGAACAAATCTTCTCTTATGATTAAATTTTCTTAGAAAGCTTTAATAATTGGACATAACTTATATTAAAACTTTTTGTATATAATTACCCCTAACTCACTTATGTTTGGCTGACTAAAGTAAAACTATTTCTCAAATATGTATGAAGTTAAAATTAACTAATCTACTGAACAATGTTAATTCTATCATTGTCCTTTTGAATATAATACTTCGAATTAGAAGTTAAATTTTTTTTATCATTTAATTTTTTATTCTTAAGCTTTTTATTCATTATTTCTCTTTTAATTCTCTTTTTGTTTTTCTTTTCTTATTTTTAAAGAGGATTACTAGATATCTAGTTTTTTTTTCTTTTTTTTATCTTGAATATCATTTCATTTCTAAGTTAAATTCTCAATTACCTCTAAACTAAATTCAAAATATTATAATTTAATGGATACTAAAAAATAAATTATCTGAATTGATCAATTATTTAATTGTATATATATTTGACAAGTTAATTTTATTTTTAGCTAATTTTAATCTAAATATTGAAGAATCATCAAATAGAAAAGAAATTAATTATAGTCAGAGTTTCGTCATTAAGGAGTCACTAATTGTTTCAAAACTTTATTGAACATTTATGTCACCAAAACTTATTTTTCCTCCTCTTATTAAATCACACTAGATTCTGATTAAATCTACAGTTTCTTTAAATAAAATTCTAAAATGTAGATATCTAATCTTACTTTAGGGCACAATTTTTGTAAATATCCCTTCTCTTAAAACTATTTCTGGCATTACATATGCTAAAAACAACAGAAAAGGAAAATGAATATAACAAAGTAGAAGATGAAGACATACTAAAAGAAAAATACAATACAAGCAGAAAATATAAGATTCCCATGCTTGATTAAATCTTCAATTAGACCCTAGTGGTGTCAACACTTTTTCGTGTTGTGATCATGATTACGATGGAGCACATAATACTTCCTTGGGTCCCGAAGATAAACTCCAACTTTCATCAGTGGTGCCTTCTTGAAGCCTTGCTTGTTTTAGATGACCTCCACTGTCTCGACTATTGAGGCTCCCAAAGGAGTCTGCTTTGGTATGTTTTTAGTAGGTGGCGATCGCTATATATATCGAGTTGGTCGTTGACCAGTGTATAAGACTCAGTGTTCTTTTAAATGGGCTATGTCGGTCACTCAATTTTCCTAGTGTCATTGCAGATCTTTGAAGCGAGCTTGAGTAGGAGATTGAGGGTTGTGTCTCGCCTTCCACCCTTTTTAATGAGAGGTTTTTTTTAGTAGATGATTTGTGTTTTCCTATATTCTAAATGAAGTTGGGGGAGTTGTACTATTTTGTCAATATCTGATTGTTGGTTAGCACCAACAACTCAATTGGTGTCTTTGATCGTTGTAATCCCAACGCGTATCAAAAGAGTTCTTCCTTCAATCCTTATGTGAGGGTCATATGAGCGACCGTGGATTCTAAATCCAAAACATATAAAATTTCCTTCTTACAATGTGCGATGAAAAAGAACAAAATTTCACTCTATCCCCAGCAAAGCTTTAGGAAATTCTACGAGCTCTCTAGGGTTTTTAAGCACTTGTGAAATGCACAACAAATATTTACTTGAAACTTGTTAATGACGTGATAACTTCTAACGGTAATCATTGAATAACCTTAGGCTGAATCCATCACTGTGGTAAAAAAGAGTTGGCAAATTAACACATCGTTGATCTTGAGAAGACATACTGTCGATTTGAAAGTAGTCACTGGTGATCTTAAGAAGGCATACAATCAATTTGAAAGAAGAAATGAGGTTTGTTCAATTCATCCGTCTTTTATATGATTCAAGTGTCATGATCTTGAATCATTCTAGTGGCTCAACATCACAAATCTGCTGGGAGAATGTATTTTTTGGCCGACACAGTGTTTCAATATGCCCAACCTGATGTTAATCAACCGGAGCCTGCCCAACACTGTTAAGATATTGGGTTTTGTCCTTCATCTCCAAGACTAGGCGGACTCTTCTGCGCTCAATTTTTGATTCGTTATCTAGCTCCTAATATAGCATGCCTATGAAAATCTCTAACATTTGATCATTTAGATTTTGAATTTATTGGACCACAAATTTTCTAGTGCACTTCGTATTATCATCTCTCTCCCTGTGTGAAGTAATTTTCATTGCACTGCTTCTCTTCTTGTTAGTGACATAATCCACACTCTCATGTGGGATAGGTTACTTCATGAGTCACTTTTCCTGCAATTAACAGTTCAGATGCTCTCTTATCTCGTTTCCGGCCGAATGTCTTATAATTGGATTGCTTGCCTGCTTTTCAGCTCGATCAGCTTTGGCCTAGCTGACATGGCTTGTCCAGCTTGGCGTGCCTCACGATCTTTTAGCAAGGTATCTGCCTTCATCCTATTCTTTTTTATGGTCTGATAGATCTCTGCAGGATCAGTTTAGACATTTTTTTGATATATGAATACAAAATTACTTTTTAATATATTAAGCTATTTAAATAAATCCTCATTAGGATGGCATTTACTTAGCCATCAAACCCAATCATGAGTGCTATAAATCACATACTTCTTAACATAGGTGTCATCAAGTCGCAATCTAATTAAAATATCATCCTAATCCCAGAATTCTTAAGTAGTTATTTATACCACATGATTGCATATATTCACATAAAAGATAATAATGCACCCAACTCACGGCCAATAAAAAAGTTGACATGCCTTCATACCAAAGCTTATACTATGCTAACACACATTCAGGTTAAGTCTCAGTAATAAAGCTTAAATCTCATTAAGCCCCAAAACTTAATCAAACTAGAGGTAAATAAAAAAACCGATGCGCATATAAATCACCTCTACCATTCGTAATTACTTTAACATTCTTTTGTTAACCATAATCTTATAAATCTTTTTAAATTATTTTAAAAAATCAATGCTTATATAAATCAAATACAAAAGAGTGTCTTTTCTCCAGGCATTTAGCCCTCATAACCATTGAAATATTACCGTAGACTAAAATTATCATTTCAAATTTAGTACAAGTGAAAAGGATCAGCTTAACCATAATGGTAAGTAAGGAGATGCTTCCAAAACCTATTGATTTGTAAGCCGTTCATTTAGTCACATTATCAGTATGATGCATTCTTTTGCAGCCATTTTAAGAACTTGACCTTTGATTGATAAAAAATGAAACAAAATATCTTAGAAAAATGGTTATCTTTTCTTAAGAGCTGGTTTAATTAACCGCTTAATCATTCAATCTAATTAAATACCTTGCAATCATCATTGATCTAATTGACGTTTAGTTTTCTAAAGAAACATTGCTTATTTTAGTTTAAGAATAAAACTTATAATCATGTCTCGAATTATGTATATTTACTTAGTTGAATAAATCTTTTCATCAAATTAATTAGCTGTTAATGATGTTAAATTATTTAATAATCAACTAAACCAATTATTACAATAAATGCAGAATCATCATTACAACTCCCACCCGATTAACCACTACATTAAAATAAAATAAAATAAAAAAGGAAAATTTACATACGCAGCACCCAATTTTCATGCATTTATTTATCTCACACTCAAACTTTTATTTTTACAATCTAAGCACTTTAACCTATATATGAAAATGTGGATTATAAAAATCCATCTTTTCATAAATAGGTAAAAATATTTTTATTATAAAAATCAAAATTTAGATGGGAGATACATAAATACATAAGCATTAGGTGCTATGCATATAAATTTCCCTAAAAAACGAGAAATTATTCCATACGGACAGCGTATGCAGAGATGCATCTGCTATCCAATTTCGGCCGTAGATCACAATTTTTTTCTTTTTGTTTTTTTTTAATAGGGCCCACCGAAATATAGTTTGTTGTGATCAGTTGTCGAGATCGGCAACATATACTTCTCTGCATGCCTTGTCTGTATGAAATAATTTTTCCTAAAAAACACATAGACACACACAAATATTAGTAAATCCATACATGCGAAGTAATTTGATGATGTTTAATAGTATTATAATAATAATGCACCAAAATATCATCAAATACCATCAAATTCACGTCCATCCGCACCTGTTTTTTCCACCTCCCTTCTTCCCCCATGGCTTTTACTTATTGGATCCAAGAAACCACATCTGCTCCACCAAATCCTTCACATCCTCCGCGAATTCGCAGTTCTCCACAGCCAACTCCTCCACCTCCGAATCAATCTCCAGCGCCGGCGCTCCCTCCAATTTTTCACTAAACAGCTCCTCCCACATCGAATCCAACATCTCCACCGAAATCTGCTCCACTTCCTCAATCTCAGCCTCATTTCTCAACTCCCTCTCCAATCCAACAAATAACTGATCAGGCTCTTCGCTCACCTGCAAGCTCCCCGGCAATGGTGTCGGCAACCTCCTCTTCTTCCCAGGGCTTCCCAATTCCATCCCCCGCTCGCTTCTCATCAAAAGCTTATGAATGAAGTCAGGATTCCGCAGTGCTTTCGCAAGGAAAGCCATTGTCTGCTTCTGCTTTGTCTCAGCTCCCAGCATTCTCTCCTCCATTGCAACCAGCTGCGCGCTGGAGCTCTGCTGTTGCTTCCTTAATCTTACAATCTCAAGCATCAGAACCTGTCTCTCTGCACCCAGTCTCTCAACCTCAGCCTCTAGTCCAAGCTGACCCAGTTCTCCAGAACTCTGACCAATATTTCTTCGCCTTTTAATATTCTTCAGAAGATGCTTCTGCCCGCCTAAAAATTCCTCATTTGCGAATTCCCATCGATCGGGATCCACTTTTCTGAACCCCTGCATCCATCATATTCAGCTCATTTAAAACTCAAAATCCAATCTCTTGCTTATTGGGAAGATCAATAAAGTTACTCACATAAGTGTTGAGCTGACGGATGAAGCTGGAGAAATTTCCGTGTTTGAAGTAGCGAGGGAGAACCTTGGTGGCGAACATGTGGGAATCCCATACAACGAAGCTGTTACGAGCACTGCTCCATGAAATCACGGAATCAGTGCTTGGGTCTTCAACCATGTCGAAGGTCTTCTTCAAGAATGGTGGCGGCGCTGCTTCGTTAAGGCCTGGTAATGGTTGAGGGACCATTGCCTCTGTTTCTTCGTCCTCCTCCTCTTTGACCAGGATGAAGCTGTCAGCTGCTCCTCCTTCCATTGTTAGTAAGTGGGAGATTAACAGCAGAGTGCAGCAGAACAGAACGGCCGAGTTGTTTTCGATCCGGGGGAGAGCGGCGGGAAGAAGTATTTATGGAAGCGAAGGGATGAGAGCTCGGGAAGAAGAAGATACGAGGGCATTCTCGTAAAATCGTTACTTGGAAACTTCTTCAGATTTTGCTGTGCAAATAAATAATAAGGAGCTGTGGGTGCCAATCGCGTCATGGATGTTTCTGGAAAGTTCGGCCGACAGTTGATGGCTATGGATGGAGTTGCGGGGTCAATGGTCTTGAATGGATGAATGTTAGACGTGGCAGATTTGTGGATGATCTTTCTACAATTCCGTGGGAGGCTCGCGCAGGGGATCTGCATTCATTTAGTTTTTGTTTGCCGATGATTCTAGTGAGAGTGGATATTTCTGTATTTGGCTTGATATTTTATTCGTTGGTGCTTACTGCAGCGGTTTCGCTGCACCAAATAGCGATACAAGTAGTTTGATATTGCATTTTGTCGTGTTAATCTGTTGCGCGTGCGTTGGGAGTATGCTCTTAAATTTAAATAAATAAAAATAATAATAATATTTTTTTATGTTGAAAATTCAAAGAATAAAAGTATTTTGTACATTGAAAATGTGATTTGAGGAAACCATAAGAGTATTAGGAAAGAAGACTTACCGATAGAAGACCATGTGACCCACTTATCCTACCGAGTGCAGTCGTTCGAGCCAAAGACCAGAAGAACAAAGCCGCCCGACCTATGAATAGAATAAGAAGACAACCGAATGATTCAACTGTTCGATCATAAATGAGATAACGAGACATCCGAGTCAACCATTACTAAGAAGCCAATCTGAGTGAAGACATGGCCCCTCAGTATCTTTAATCATGCTAGAGATTTCTAAAAGCTCCCTCATCCATTATAAAGGATCGAAGACGAGACTGGATCAGCCGACTGAGGCAATTATGTTAACCCGAACTAAACCAAGTTTGACCGAGCGACGACACTAACCAAGCCTATCCGCCCGAACTGATCCTACCAACTCAAAGTCAAACAAGCTCCGCCGACTGAGTCAGGGAGTAGTCGAGCGATAGGCTCATACATGTAAAATATGTAGAATAACGTATACTGTCTCAATTAAAACAGAGGCAGAAACTTAACATCTTCATATTGCACTTTCTCTCTTATAAACAAGGGAGATCATTTATGAATAGAGAAGATCAACATGATCGTCGTGGTTAATATGACATTTTACATTTTATTATTGTTTACTCCTCTTCATATCTCTCTCTCCCGACTTACGTTATATTCCTTGGAATGTGGTTCATAGATAAATAAATATTCAACATCCTAAAAGGTGCGTTGAGTATGGATCATGCCGCAAAAAAGAAGAGTAGCATGATTTTAAGCTCATTTCATATTGTTTGCACGAATACATTCACATTTCCACCCCAAAATGCATTTGTGAGTATATGCCCTCATATTCTCATCGCGGGTCTATGTGCCACTTCAGCACATTACTTCATGTCTGTCTCGTGACATCCCAATGTTATGGTGCACCACATCCTTAATGTTTGCATTTATACTTGTGCACTTGTGCGTTCGCTTGCATTACATTTCATATACTCATGACTTGTATGCATTTGGGTTCGTGCTCTCACACACTTATCACACACATTCACACATCATGTGAATGGATGACTTGCTACCAAGCCCATCGTTTTGTAGTTCTCTTCAAGAAGAATTGTATCGCCCTTTCACCTCTTATGACGCCACTTCGGACTACCGTATGCATCTTCCTTAAGTCATTGTTCCTCGCAAACTCACCTCTAATACTCGTATGTCTTTCTCGAGCCACTACTCCTTGTACACTCTTTCACTTCATATGACATCGCTTCGGTCTGCTGCAGGTATTTTCTTGAGTCACTGCTCCTCTCGCACTCATTTCTGACACTCTTGTGTCCTCTTCGAGAATGGCTTGCACATCAAGCCTACTAGGTGTGTGATTCTCCCTAGCAAGAAGAACACCACTTCACTTCGGTTGTGTGTCATGCATGCACATAAACACATTGTCTGCGCATTCATCATTTATATACGCCACAGTATACTTTTGATGTTTTTTTTATCTTGTGACTTCTCCTACTTTGATGGAGTGTTCTTAGCATTTGCATGTGCATTTTCGATCATCACGATGATAAAACTAACTCATTAGCTGAGTGAATCTTTGTTGGTCATGACACGACAACTTGTATTGCATGCGAGAATGTGTCGATGTGCAATAATAGGTATCCCATCGTGGTCGGCAAGTATATGTTGTGTTAAGAATCTAAAGGGTCTAATCGGTACAACTTAAGGTTTTCTTTTCTTAGGACCAGCTTTAAAATATAAAATTAATATTCTTATTAATTATATGCATCATATTTTCAATACCTATTTTGAAACTTTTTGCGCCCTTAGCTTAGACCATACATAAGTTTGACCTTTTAAAACCTAAAGTTTTTTTATAAAATTTGCATCTCGTAGCACCTCTTAAAATCCTTGGATTCTTAGGATGGGGTCGAGGACGTAGCACCTCTATAAAGTTTGACCTTTTAAAATAATTTTTCTCTTTCTCCCCCCCTCCCCCCCCAAACATAAGCTAGCCTTTTTACCTACACTTGCACCACACACACTTAGATGATGTGACTACCAAACTCTACGTTAGATGGTGTGATACGCTAGGATTAGGGTACGAAGAAGTATTTTTAAAGTCTTAGCTATAGTTCTCAATTGAATTGGTTTCCCTAGCCAGACATAACTTTTGTTGTTTTGTGCTTTTACTGGGTGTGAGACTTCCACATTAGTATATATAGTGGTAGTCTTCTTGTAGGGTGCTACATCCAATTGGGAGGAGCTGCAATGATTTAAAATAACATATTTTCTATAGGTACAATTAAGCTTTCTTCCTGCAGAACGCGGTCAATTTCACATTGCTTGTTATAACCAGTAGAGCTGTCAAAAGAGCACGTTGTTCGCGAACAGCGCTCGTTAGGAGGCTCGTGTTCGGTTCGTTCGCTAAGTTAACGAGCCGAAAACGAACAACACGAAAAAATATTTGTTCATTCGTATTCGACTCGTTTTGGCTCGAAATACTACTAATCAACTCTATATATATATATAAGGTTTATGTTA